AAAAAAAAAAAAAAAAAAAAGCAGCAGCAGCATTCGACCAAAAAAAAAAAAAAAACTACAGGCCAATCTCCTTAATGAACATGGATACAAAAAATCCTCAGTAAAAATACTGGCAAACAGAATCCAGCAAATCATCAAGAAGATTATACACAATGACCAAGTAGGATTCATCGCAGGGATGCAAGGATGGATGAACATACACAAACCAATAAATGTAATACACCATATCAACAGAGCCAAGGACCAAAACCATATGATCATCTCAATAGATGCAGAAAAAGCATTTCACAAAGTCCCAAAATCCATTCATGATTTCAAAAAAACACCTACAGAAAATTAGAACAGATGGTCTTTATCTCGATCTGATAAAAGCCATCTATGAAAAACCAGCAACCAATGTCATACTAAATGGACAAAAACTGAAAGCTTTCACCCTAAAGTCAGGAAGAAGACAAGGATGTCCACTATCACAACTCTTTTTCAATATAGTTATGGAAAAATAAAAAGAAATAAAAGAAATACAGCTAGAAAAGGGTGAAATTACCATCATTATTTGCATATGACATGATACTCTACATATAAGACCCAAAAAACTCTGCCAAAGGACTTCTAGGTTTAATAACCAAATTCTACATCATACCTGGATACAAAGTCAATACTCAAAAATCAACAGCATTCCTATATAAACTCATTGAGAGAGAAATTAGGGAAACCACACCTTTCAAAATAGCATTTAAGAGCCAGGGGTTTAGCTCAGTGGTTCTATCACCTGCCTTGCAATCACAAGGTCCCTAGTTCGATCCCCGGTGCCAAAATCAATCTAATGAAGGAAATAAAAAATCTTTACAGTACTCTGAAAAAGGAGATCAAAGAGGATATCAGAAAATGGAAAGATATCCCTTGTTCTTAGGATGAACCAATATAGTGAAAATGGTCATACTTCCAAAACTGTACTGATTAAATGAAATTCCAATCTAAATTCCAATAGCACATCTCACAGAATCAGAGAAAAATGTTCTAAAATTCACTTAGAACCAGAAGATTTAGAATAGCAAAAGCAATTCTGGGCAACAAAGGCAAGGCAGGAGGCATCACAATCTGACTTGAAATTATACTACAATGCTACTGTGATTAAAAACAGCATGATACTGACAAAAACAAACACCTGAGGATCAGTGGAACAGATTGGAAGATGCAGAAACATTTTTTACCATCCACTAAACTAAAATCAAAATGGATCAAAGATCTAAATATTAAAACAGAAAACACTACTGTAGGCAAAGACTTTATGAACAAAACCCGAATCACATAGGAAATATAAAAACTCAGTAACTGTCAGGCGTGGTGGTGCACGCCTGTAATCCCAGCACTGGGGAGGCTGAGGCAGGAGGATCACTGTAAATTCGAGACCAGCCTGGGCTACATAGTGAGTTCCAGGTCAGTCTCAACTACAGAGTGAGACCCTGTCTCAAAAAAAAAAAAACTCAATGACTGGGATATTATATTAAAAAGCTTTTGCATAGAAAAAGAAACTACCAACAGAGTGAAGAGATAACCCACAGTGTGGGAAAAAATTTTTGCCAGCTGTTCCTCTAAGAACTAATATCCTAATATAAACAACTAAAAAAAACAAAAAAAAAAGACCCCTCAAATTTAAAAATCCAATCCAAAAATGGGAATTTGCAATGAAAGGACACTGCAGATGATGAAGCAGGAACAGCAAATAAATATATGAAAAAAATGCTGACATCACCTGTCATTCGAGAGATGCAAATTAAAACAACACTGAGATTTCATCTTTCTCCAGAAAGAATGGCTGCTATCAAGAAATCAGTCAATAACAAATGCTGGTGTGGTGAGGCTTTAGGGAAAAAGGAACCCTTCTCCACTGTTGTTGGGAGTGTACACTGGTATAAACACTGGAAATCAGTGTGGAGATGCCTCAAAAAACTAAAATCAGAGGTGCCATTCAACCCAGCTATTCCCCTTCTTAGTATCTTCCAAGGAATTTAAAAGCATCATACAATAGCAATATATGCAGACCCATGTTTATAGCATGGTTTGGAATAGCTAAATCCTAGAAACAGCCAAAATGCCCATCAACTGACGAATGAATAAAGATGTGGGTGGTTTTTTGTTGGTTTTTTGTTCGTTTGTTTGGTACTGGGGATCAAACTCAGGTCCTTGTGTTTGCAAGGCAGGAGGCAGAACCACTGAGCTAAATCCCCAGCCTTATGTGGGGTTTTTATACAATGGAATACTACTCTGCCATAAAGAAGGAAAAGCCTGAGACACTTTTAGACCATACATTTTTTTTTTTTTTTTTGGTACTGGGGAGATCAAAGACAGGAACTTGTGTTTGCAAGGAAGCAGTACCACTGAGCTAGATCCCCAGCCCAAGCATACTCTTAAGTGAGACAAATCAAATACACATGTTTAAATACCATGTTGTTTCTCTAGTATGAGAAACCAAAAGTAGAAATAAAGTCCAAAATGTGTAAAAGAAATAAATTGTTCAAATGAGAAGGAGAACAAGGACGGGGAAGGGAGGAAGGAAAGAAGGGACAAGAGAAAAAATGGAAACAAAGCTTTTGTAAATAAGGAGGGGGAAAGAGGTCGAAGGGAAGGGGGTGGCATAAGAAAAAAGGAGAAAGATATCATGTACAGGGTACAGATTTTCTGAGAGGAATGGTATTATTATGCATATCTAATATGTACCAATAAATGTTTTGCTTCAAAAAATAATAGTAATAGGCAATACTTGTATAGTATCATATGCAAAGATTATTCATTATGAGCCACATCTTCCTAAAATAGAATATCATTAACAGAAAAAGACCTAACTTTTTAAAGTAAATATCATACTTCAAAACCTAACTATGAAATATTTAATGACTACTTTTTCTTCCTCTTCATACACTGGAGAGACAAGCCCAGTGACGGCGGACTGGACATAGCACTTTAACGTCACATGGGTTTCCTTTTTTTTTTTTTTTTTGGTACTGGGGATTGAACTTGGATCCTTGAACTTGCAAGGCAGGCCACTGAACTGCTGAGCTAAATCCCCAGCCCCATGTCACATGGGTTTCTAAAGAACACTTAAGAGTTACCGTAAGTTACTACAGCAGAAGCAGACTCGAGCATCTACTCACATCTGTGGGCTCTGTGTTGAGCTTCCTGGGCAGCAGCTGCTCATCTGGAAAGAGACTTGCTGTGCCTACTCCCCAGGACTTTGGAGAAATCTGAGACTGTGGCACCAAAGAGCATTTCTGACTCTCAGCACTGTGGTCCCAAGATTCTGAAGTCGCTGGCTGCTTGGAATCCTGACCGTCACACATGGGAGTGGTCCACGGCTTGCTGACATTCTGTTCACTCTGCACAGGTGTCCAGGACTTTGGCATGGGCTTCTTTGGATCCTTTTCTTTCTGCAGCTGAACTGGCCAAGGCTTTGGTGTCTCCAGATTCTTCTGCTCCTCTTTGGACTTAGGAGCTTCCTGATTCCACTGGCTGGGAGGTGGCTTGGGTTTGGAGATCTCCTGCTGCTTCTCTTCCGGGAGGGTTGACCTGAGTTTTGGAATCTCTTGTTTCCTCTGTGCTAAGGAAATGGCAATCTTTGATATATCCTGCTGCTTAAGTGGAGACTCCCAGGACTTGAAAGATTCCGGTCTCTTCTCTTGACCGTCTGATTCACTATGCATATCCCAACATTTGGGGAGATTTGGTTTCTTAGGATAATCTGCTTCCCAAGTCTGCTCTTTGTCTTGTTTCTTTGAACAATCTACTTCTGTTATATAGCGTCTGTTAAGAAACTAAATCAAGAAAATAACTCATTTGAGTCACAAAATTTGTAGGAAAAAAATTTTTTTGCGGGGGACTCGGGATTGAACCCGGGACCTTGCACTTGGGAGGCAGGTGGCAGAACCACTGAGCTAAAGCCCTGTCCTAGGAGTCTGAAACTAATGTTAAACTCTCAATTCCAACTCTATTAGTGTTCCTATATCCACTGGTCTGAGCTGCTGCACTGCCGTGAAACCTCTGTCCTTACTCTACTTGAAAAGACTGACCTACTTCTTTGTCCATTCCTTTTCCTCAGTTAACTCAAACAGCAACTGATACTTCCAAAGTAGCAATTTACACTCAACTCACTTAAACCTAGCAAGAAATGCACATCATGGTGCCACAATTGCTTGATTTAAGCCCTTGCACACAGCCTACTGTGTCTTTGTCAGCCTCAAGACACCCCACACATACCTTCTCGACACTCTTAAAAGTAAAGGCAGAGGACAGCTGAACTACAAGAAGGTATACTGCTTAGCTTTATGATTACTGAATGAACAGCCTTTTCATCACTTCCTTCATAACAACTGCACTGTGTCTTTCCTTCTCCCGTTCTTTTCAGCTTCCACAAATTTCAATGTCATTTCTAAAAAAGAACAAATACACTCTTCTGGGACAAAATGAGTCAATTCTACAGAGTGCAAAATCCTGCACATCTTTACATTCTAACACAGGGGCCAAAACAACAACAGTTAACGTTATCGTGTGCCAGGCCAAAATCTAAGTAATTCAGGTTAGCTCCACTAATTCTCACCATAACATCAGGGCAGGCATTATCATCACAACCCTCATTTTCTTTACAAGGATAGCAGACACATGTGGGCTAACAATCCTCCCCCAACTCACTAAGCTAATACAGAACCAGGATTCAAGTTCAGGTTGTCTGGCTCTAGAGTCTCACCCGCTAACCACAGCACTGTACAAAAACTTGAACAAGATCAGTCAACGACCTTTCACTCTCTTACCTCCTGGGGTTGTATCTCTGGCTGTGAAAGTTCCGTAAGAGTCTCTGAAAAAGAATATTAAATAAACACTAGGTAAATACAATTTTACTTGACTACAACTGTAATTCATTCCAGCAACATACTTCAGAGCAAGAGAAAAATGATTATACAATAATAAAGTGTACTCACAGTAAGAATAATTCTCACTATGATTTATTGGCCTAAAGCATGTGGAGAGCTGGGGTTGTAGCTCAGTGATACAGCATTTCCCTGGCATGCACTAGGCCCTGGTTGAATCCAGCACACAAAGAGGGAGAAAACAAGCACATGGCTTGAGGCAAATTGAAGGCAGGGGCTTTCCTACAAAAGACATGCCATTCAAATCTAGTTTAAACTACAATTTTAATTTTTATTGAAAATCAGAGTTATCTCCCCCTCTGCCCATGAATACAGCTTTATATTAAAGTTGGAATTACAGCTCAGGTCTTGGCGGGGGTAACACTGAGTCATAGCTGGGAACAGGGCTTTCCGGATCAGTCTAAGGTCAGAAGGGAGGAAGGAGGAGACACTAAAGCCCTGGACCAAGCAGCAGGATTACAGGGCAATAAACCTGTAAAGTGCCTGGACATTTGCTGGTGACACTGGACCTGTGCTTTGTTTACAAATGTAATTTCAAGAAGGAAAAAAAAGGCAAAACTTTGTTAAAATATTTCTTTCCCAAGAAAATGACCACTTCAGAAGGGTATTTCCTTTCCAAATTCAGCCAAGTTTTCCTAAATAAGTATTTTAAAATTATATTATTTATTCTCATTCTACTATATTACTGGATTCTACTATACCTAACATTTAAGCCACAATTTTAAATGGAATTATCCTACTGGTAGTTTAGAGAAGTTCATTCAAATTCCATAAAAGCCTCATTTTAAACCAATGTAATCCCTCAGAACAGAATATAACCCAACATTGCTATTAAGGGTCACTCTATCAAGCATGGCAAGGAATGTTTTCTAAAGCTATGCTTATCTTGCACCAAGATTACCATGTGTATAGAATATAAAACATTAAAATAAGGCAGTCATTTCAAAATGATTGTTTCCAATTCAGCCATGAAAAATTTCAGACAAACCTGACTCTTCAATAGATTCAGTCTTCACTGATTGTTTTTTCTTCTCTGATTGCATTGGCATTTCTTCTTCCAAGGATACTTCTTTTTCCTTAGCAGTTTTGGGAACTGGAATCCTCTCAAAATAACCTGAGTTCAGTAGTGTAGACAGCAGATCTTTCATGTGCTTGTCTAAGAAAGAGTGATCAAGATGTAGCAGTCACATCACAGGCAAAGGGACACTTATTTCATGCTAGCTACAGTGTGTCACTACAAGTGGGGAGACTCAGATTGGGCAGTACTGTGAAAAGTAAGCAGGCAGCCCATCTTTATTCTATACTGGATCCACATAAACTTGAAAGATTAGAATAACAAAGTTTGGCAAATTACTTAAGTTTCTCTGCGCCTCTACTTCCACCATTTGAAAAAAATGGCTCAAAATCGGAGACTTTTACTCAAGCCTCTGTCACCAATGTACACATTCCCATCTGTCCTAGAGGATTTGGAGAAGGCTAGTTCCTCTAACATAATCAGTAGAAAACCCTATTTTGAGCAACCTTTTAAATATCTCTAAACTGTAAAGTTCTCAGATTTTACTCTAGAGTTATGCTGTATGTCACTCCTAGCATATCACCATCAGATGAAGAAAACTCTTAAAGTGATGCTGAAGTCGCTACACTACAAGTAAGTTCAAACACTGATTCACTGTAAATGTCCAATAAAAACATAATTCCCCAACTAAGCAGAGCGCCCATACTTGATCTGGGTGCATCATTCACTTATAGGAGTACTACGATATAGACTGATGTCTTTTTTTCCTAATCAGCTTAGAGATACAACTTACAAACACAAAAATTACTGTTAAATTTACAATTTTAACAGTATAGTCACATTGCCACCATGAGAACCACGATAGGAAAACATTTTTGTCAACCCAAAAAGTTCCCTCACACCCCTCTTCCAAAAAATCCCCTCCCTGATCCCCTGGTAAACAAGAACCTATCCATCTAATTATGTCTTTCCAAGAATTTCATATAAATGAAATCATACAAAATGTACTCATTTATTTTTATTGTCTGGCTTCTTTCACTAAGCATAATTATTTTGAGATTTGTTTCATGTATGGATAATTCATTTTTTTTAAATTGCTGAGCAGATTCCATGGCATGGCTATTCCAAATTTTATTATCAGTCGATCTGCATCTAGGCTATGTTCAATTGGGGTTGTTAGAAATAAACTGGCATAAATACTCACACGTAAGAACCAATGTCAACATCTATTTTCATATCTCTTGTGTACCAGGAGTGTAACTGATGGTGGTATAGAAAATGTACACTTTACTTATTTTTTTGAGAGATATGTCATTGCACTGCCCGTGCTGGCCTGAAACTCACACTCCTCCTGTCTTAGCTTCCCAAGTAGCAGTAATACATGCCATTGCACCTGGCTTTATTTTCCAAATTATTAGTTTCATTTTGCATTCTAATGAAGAACAAACTTTTGAAAACAAGATTCATTGTGTTGCCTAGAGTGACCTCTGACTACCTGGGCTCAAGGCTTAAGAGATCTTCCTGACCCAGCCTCCTGAGCAGCTGAGACTACAGGGGCATTCCACAGGGCCTGTCTCAAGAAATACATTATAATTGTGATTTAAACTTGGAATTAGAAATCCTGGTAGTTATACATACTTGGATATTTTCTAAAAGGGACACGACTAGTAATGAACATACTTATTAGCATCTAGTGAGCTGTGATTACCCTAAGCCAGGATATACTTCTTGTCTGGATATTTATATCTGGTCCTTTGACCAATGGCTTATTTAGGAAGTCAAAATACTCTCTCCAGATCATTTCCAAATCAAACAACAAACAAGCCAAACCATTCATTTTCTTCTTAGCTGATCTGCTATTAAGCCTTGATATTAATAATGCACAGATTTAACAAAAGGTCCTGAGTTCAATCTCTGGTACAAAAAAACAATGCATAGATTCTTATCTAGAACAGGTACTACCATTCAGAACGGATAACCAAACCTCAAAATGATCAAGTTAGTGTTGAAGCCAGCACTAGTACCTAGCTCTTGTTCCCAATCATATTGACTTGCCACTTCAAAATTCTCCCTTAGCTCCATTTCATCAAGTGGTTACTATACAATAGCTGCTTTTAACAGCAATGAACACAGGGATCAGTCTCCCGATGAATGTGGCATGTCAGACATGTAAGTTCTGATGGACTGACACAGTGTAGACCCTCAATGACATACTAAACTTCCAGACACAAAGTTTAGTATTACTGCATAAGTCCAGAGTAGAGAAAACTCACATGTCGTTCCTACAACTGCTTTCTCACTACCTTCCAAAAGGTCCCAAAAGTACAAGGATGACTGCTCCATCTGGTCTTCAACACTGACAAGGAAAAGCAGCAGCAGAACAAAGTGGCTTTAGAAGTACGTACACACACAGGGAGCAGCAAAATGTATGCAATACAACCCACTAATAGTCAAGGCATTCTCTTTGGAAATAAAATGAAATTTATAAAGATAATTCAATGCCCATTTATGGATTTCATCAAGAACTTTTCCTTAAAATAAACATTTTACCAAATATGATTATCAAGAATAGACCAAGAACTTAGAGCTGCTAATGCAGTATCATTTCCTTAGTTATTAAGTTTGTGTCTTAGAAGAACTGCATTTAACTTTACTTGGATTTGGGCGGGGGGTGATTTTCGTTCTTTGAGACAGAGTCTCACTATGTAGCCCAAAAATGGCCTTGACCTTATCCTCCAGCCTGGAGTTCCTGGGTGCTGGGGATTATAGACATGAGCTATCACACCCAGCTTGCACTGAACTTTAAAGACAGCAGCTTATTTTTTTCAATTATCTGTGCTGAAATTTTACAGATTAGAGCTTGCTGTGCCCTCTGAACACACTAAGTGAGAAGAGACAGGTGAAAATGGAGTACACTACTACTAACACAGGGATATACAGCTACCCACAGGCGATTCAATTTCATCAGGTGTCTTCCTGATGCAAGGAAGATCTCCTTTTGTTTTTCTTTTTATGGGGCTTTTTTGGTTTTTTGGAGGGGGAGTTGACACAGGGTCTCACTATGCAGTCCAGCCTGACCTTGAACTCATTATGTAGCCCAGGTTGGCCATGAACTCACAACCCTCCAGTCTCAGCCTCCAGCGTATTGGGATCACAGGTGTGCATTGCCACAGCTGGCTGAGGCTGACTTCTAACATATTTGACTCTGCTTTAACATGGCTAATAAACACAAAGTTGTAATAACCTATTTTTAACCCAGCGAAAGTATAAAGATCTACTGTACTTGTTAACTGATTTACTCAGATAACAAAATAAGTAAGTGGCTCACTGCAGGGTAAAAAAGTTAAGCAGCCCCAATTAGATGGCTTTTTATTTTAAACCATCAGCTCCAAGTACTTATTCAGATCACAAGAACAACAAATAATTCTCACTGTGAAAATTTAATATTGAATATTTTTTACTTCTACTTAAGTGCAGCAGGAATAAGAAGGCAAAGAAAGACATACAAAATAAGTTTTAGGACTATATTACAGATAATACTTATGTAGGATTAAACCTTGATGATCAGGTACTTTTAAAATCAGTATTGTAATAAGGAAATGTGTTCTCATTCAAACTTTCTTTCTGGACAATCTAGTAAACCTATTAGAGCATTCCCTATAGAATCAAATTAATGTTTTCTTAATTTTATATACACACACACACACCTGTATATGTATGTATATACACATATAGACAGACTAAAGTAAAGTACTATGTGTTTTAGTTCAAAAAAACTTTTCCATTAGCTTACCTCAGACTTTCATTTCTTTCAGGGCAGGTCAGTTTTGAAAATTTAATGAGGTAGTCAAGTTCTTTTGAAGGCAAATACACTGCACCATTCAACCCCCCTCTGAAGTCTTTCTGTACATGTTCCTGTGTCAAGTTCTGTAATACATACTGAACTTGAAGTATAGTTCGAAGCTTTTTCTTCTCAGCCTCAAGTTTTATCATGTGCTCCCTTCTCTGTGCCTTTTTCTGCACTTTCAATAGCTGTTAAAACAAAAGCAGGTTGGTAACTCTCCACATCTACATCAACAATTCATGTTTCAAAACCCAATCCCAAAAAACTGAGATTAGATGACAAATCGCATGACTGTCAAATCAACTATTTTGTGTGGCCTTTATTTCCTTTTCCACTGAGTACTGAAATGGGTTGTCTCAAGTAATCAGAGGAAAGGGAGTCCAAGCATCTGACTCAAGTCCAGGCTATACACTGTACAGCCAGTACCTCTAACTCATCATGGCGAGAAGAGAAGGATCAATCACTGATGTCCACATTAACCTATAGATTTCACTTTTCTGTATTTAAATGTATCAAGTCTTTTTAGGCCAAATATTTTAAGAAAATTCTTGAGTTTAAGTAAGCTTTTATATTTCCAGGAAGAAAACATTTAAACTAATATGATCAAGGGCCAGGGATTTAGCTCAATGGACCAGGAATTTAGCTCAATGGACCAGGAATTTAGCTCAGTGGTTCCGCTGCCTGCCTCACAAGCACAAGGTCCTGAGTTTAATCCCCAGTCAAAAAAAAGAGGTCAGTCTGACTAAATCAAAGCACAATGAAAACCTAACAAATATAAGTATCTTATAAATATTAATACAGGTTGAGCATCCCTAATTCAAGAATCCAAAACCTAAAAGGCTTCCAAATCTAAAATGTATTGAACACTAACATGACATCACAAATGGAAAATCTCACACATGATCTCATGTGATGGGTCACGATCAAAATGCAGACACCCTAGAAATACTGTATAAAATTACCTGTTGGCTATGTGTGTTAAGAAACAAACATTTCACAATGAGAATTGAATCCCATCCTTAAACTATCTATATGCAATTTTCCAAAATACAAAAAGAAATCTGAAACACTTATGGCCCAAAGCATTTTTTTTTTTGAGGTACCAGGGGTCAAACTCAGGACCTTTTGTGCTTGTGAGGCAGGCAAGGCACCACTAAGCTAAATCTCCAGCCCTGGCCCAAAGCATTTTGAATAAACAATACTCAACTTATACCTTCCCCTGCCAAGAAAAAAAAACAAAAAACACAGCAAACATTTCCTTACCCATCCCTGCTGGCTTGAATCACAGGGGGCATATGCATGACTGACCTGCTGGGTGGCTGGACCAATCAACAGGACTGTCTTATGCCACCCAATGGGACAGTCATGCATGTGCCACCAGTGGTTCAAAGCCACCCGGCAGTGAGACATACAAATTACAGTCCCTTTGTGAGCGTAATAAAGGAGGAGAATTAGAAGTTTTGGGTTTTGTGTCTTTGTTTCCAGTGTGAACTCAGGGCCTTAAATAAAAGATTATAATCAATAAAAAAGATTATAATCAATAGAACTTAAATTTCCCTTCAAATCATCTGTGGGTGTAAAATGAGCAGTCCTTGGCCTACTCCAAATCTCAGACCTATACTACCTTAAAAATCTAATGATAATATACAGGTACAGAATGGTTTGCCATTATCCAAAAAGTACATCTGTTTCCACTTAACTAACAGCTTTAGACTTAGTTTTCTTTTTTATTGTAGTACTTCCATCATACTGTATATTATCCAACATAAGACTTAAAAAACAAAAGCAGGACTAGGGATTTAGCTCAGCGGTGCTGCCGCCTGCCTCACAAGCACAAGGTTCCAAGTTCAATCCCCGGTACCCAAAAAAAGAAACTAAGATTTGTCTTATAGATGTGTATCAATATTTTAAACTCCTTAGAGATGTTCATAAATCCTAACAGATCTAGATGGGGGCATTAAAACCTCAGGAAAAATATTCACTGTGGCATACTTAATATCATTCTAGGTGCAGTGGAAATAACTTAATAAATTTAACTTGGACCAAGACCTGTCATGTAAAGGTACAGGATCCCAATAATGAATGTAACTGTACTGTATACCTAAAATGTACCAATAAACTCAATTAAAAAAAAAATAAAGAAAAAAAATTGAGTATACAAAAAAAATTTTTTTAACTTGGGTTTTAATCGGGGCCAGGAGATAATGAATAACCATAAAATTGCTAAAACTCCAAAATGAAATAACATACATAAGTGATACTTTATGTACAATGTCTCATATCTGAATACCATTTCCCTTAAAGCTCCAAACATCTGAAAACTTAGCTATCCTCAACCTACCATCCCCAACAGGACACTGAGAGAAGATAAATGATAAACTGGCACTGTTATTAAACACTGGCATTTTTCTCAATGTCAGTGGTTGTAAAAATGTTTCATAAAAAACAAAACACACTCACATCTTGGCTCAGTGCAGCAAAGGTTTTCTGAAGTTCCTTGGCAAATTCCAAATTATGTAGCACTTCTTCATATTTCTCTACTGCCTCCTACCAAATACGGCAAAACACTGAGTCAAAATTAAGTGTTTTCTAAACCCAGTACAAATTTTATAAACTATATTTACTACACATACAAGTAAAAGTACTTATCTAAAGAAAAAATAAGGACAAAAACCATTAGTATAGTTGTAAAATTTCAACTTTAATCCTAGAAATTCATTTATTTGTTTTTTGAGACAGTATTGCACCATACAGCCCAGGCTAGCCTCAAACTCATAGCGGTGGTCCTGGCTCAGTTTCCTGAATGCTGGGATTATGGGCATGTGCCACCACATCCGGTTAGAAATTCAAATTTTATATTAGAAATCTGAGCCCACATTTTGCCAGTACATTGTAAGTGCAGTCAGTTAATAGGTTTATTTTGTCAATATTCATTCACCATTCAAATGCATCTATTAAACAAGAAGTATAGTGAATATCACATAGATGAACAAGCAACTATAAGACATTTATAATGGTATGAGAAATATACTTTTCAATTGAAATGTTAGGAAAATAATGGCTTTTACCAACCTTTGTGTAAAAAATAAAACCATTATCCATCAAAAAATTACCCATAATAGTCATATTAACTGAAATAACACGCAACATTCTACAGAAAATTAAAGGAACAAGATTTTTTAAAGATTTCACTGTGAACAATATTGATAATTACAGAAGGCATGGGTTGTTCACTGGAATTTAACTTAAACTTAAAGAGGGAAAAGGGTGGATTTGAAACAGAACAAGACAGGGAATTTGCCCAACTACATGAAGACTTTTTAAAGCCTTAATAACTAAAGCAGCATAGTATTTTCCCAGTCACATAAAGACAGGAAAACATACATCCACATAAAGGTGTGTATACGACAACAGTTCAGAACCATCCAGAATAAAACCCAAATATCCAGCTGATAAATGTGTGCACACAATGGAATACTAGTCATAATGAGAAGAATGAAATAGTGATACAGACTATAACTGGACAAAGCTCAAGAACACGCTAAGAAATCAGAGGCAGCTGGATGTGGTGGTACATGCCTATAATCCTAGCACTATCCAAAGCTGAGGCAGGAGGATCCCAAAATCAAGCCCAGTAGGAGCAACTCCTAATACTCTATCTCAAAATAAAAAAAGCAAAAAGGGGCCAGAGATTTAGCTCAGTGTTGCTGCCACAAGAGCAATGTCCCAAGTTCAATCCTCAGTACCCCCTCAAAAAAAGCACAAAAGGCTGGAGTTAGTGCAAAGGCCCGAGGTTCAACTCCCAATATTTAAAAAAAAAAAAAAAGCAAAAGACTTTATTTTATATGAAATGCCCAGAAAAGATAAAAATACAAAGATAAAAACAAACTAGAGCACAAAAAGGGAACTTTAGGGGATGACGAATATTTTAAAACTGGACTGTGGTGATAACTTACAATAAATCCCTGAATTGTACACATGATGGGTTTATGGTACGTACATTATATCTCAATAAAGCTGCTGGAGGGCCGGGGATTTAGCTCAGTGGTTCTGCCACCTGCCTTGCAAGTGCAAGGATCCCAGTTCGATCCCCAGTACCAAAAAAATAAATAAATAATTTTTAAAAATAAAGCTGCTGGAGAAAAGCCTGGTGATACTAAACCTCTATAAAAGTGTAGAAAGACAGACAGTCCTATGTCCTATCAGCCTGAGTCTAACACCTGCTATTGTTAGAGTTTCCGTCTGGGATGACCTCCCAAAGCTTCCTATGCTCAGAGGTGGGACTTTTGAGAGGTGACTGGACAATGGGGGCTCATTAGTGACTTGCTGTGAGGTGGGGCCTGGTCGGGACAGGTGAGTCAATGGAGGCGTGACCTGGAAAGGCGTCTCACTCTCCAGCTTCTCATTTCCCTCTGCTTCCAGCCTCCACAATACGATCATTTCTCCTTTGTTATGTCCCCCTGCCGTGCCATCCTGCCTTTGAGCCAGCAGACTATGGACCAAAAACATGAGCCAAAATAAACCCGCTTTCCTTTAAATTGTACATGTCAGATATTGTGTCCCAAAGATGAGAGATGACTAAGACAATTATTAAACTGAAAGCAAAGCTTGGTGCAATAGTACATGTCTGTAATCTCAGCTACTCAGGAGGCTGAGGCAGATGGACTGCAAGTTCCAGTCCAGCCTGGGCAATGTAGCAAAACCCCATCTCAAAATAAAAGTTTTGAAAAGGTCTGGGGAGGCTGGGGACTTAGCTCAGTGGTGCCGCTGCCTGCCTCGAAAGCACAGGGTCCCGAGTTTGATCCTCGGTACCAAAATAAATAAAAAGATAAAATAAAATGGGTATGTAGCTCAGTGACAGAACTGCCTAGAGTACATGAGGACCTGGGTTCAATGCCCAGACACAAAATAAAAGAGGAGAGAAAGAAGGGGTAGGAGTTGGATCACAGTTATAGGAAGGAAAAAGTACTGGGAGGAGTTTCAACAGTACTGACAACATACTGTTTGACCTGAAAGGTGGGTTCTGCTGCTCTGCTTTCTTATGTGTTATAATTTACAGGCAATATTTTGTTTGGACCATATATTTCACTATAGAAAGGGAGACAGGCTTTCCAGCTATAGAAACAAGGACTGGGCAAACAATACAATCACAGTATGGAATCCTCAGAGAACATAATACTAAAAATACTACTTTGCATCTATTCTCAAAAGAAATTAGCTCTGAGTCAAGAAAAGCATCACACAGGAACTACTTCCTGTCACCTAAATGTGCACCAGTGTCTTCTTTCCTCTCTTTCTACCTATGCCCTGGGTCTTATTCAATTCTGTCTTCACAGGAAACATTAGTCTATGATTACCTTTAACGTCATCTAACAGCTTCTCCCTCTCTTGATGCTTAAATTAGCATTTTAAAAGTCCAAATCATTCCCAACCTTAAAAAGAAAATCCTACAACTCTCTCGCCAACCACTTCTTTCAAGTCTCAGACCAATTTCAAAACACTTAATGGTCTCCATTTCCTCTTCAGATCTCACTGTTCCACCAGAAGTACTGCAGCTGCAGTCAGTCCCATCCTTTGAAGCTACAGAGCTTTGAGTGCTCTCATCTGCTTAACTTATCAGCAGCCTTTGACATAAAGGCATTCTCCCGCTTTACAAATACCTCTTGGTTTGCCCTTCATTAAACTTCCATTTTTCTCCCACTTCTCCAGATGGTTATTTACAGCAATATTTCTATTAACTTCTCTCACCTTAGTTTTTAGCATCCTGTAAAACAGGCACAATAAGACCTGCTTCATAGATGTTACTCAATTTAAATGATTTAATACTTATAAAGCACTCAGTCATAACTGACCCCTGGTAAGTGTGCTGTATTTTTAGCCATCATTACACTGACCTACACTTCAGTTCTCCTATCTATACTCTTGCTCAAGATAGACTCGTCTTTTTCTAATGGTTCCATTAGCAGCCATTCAGATATTAAACCTTCAGACCAATGGTGGCGAACCTGTTAGAGCTTTCAGTGATAATAAACAGCCTGCTGTAGCATGTGTGCCATAGGTTCACCACTGCAACTTTATGCTCAGGAGCCATACAGTTAAAATATTTATTAGACATAACTTGGGTATCTCACAGGCACTTTAAAAATCAGTGACAGAAAATTGAGCTCCTCATTCTATCCCATCCTCCCAAACCTTATCCCCCAGCATTTCCAAGCTCAAAAAATGCCTTTGGCATCCACCCAATTGTTCCAGGATAAATCCACTTCTGGCCCTAAACTCTGCTCCACCATCTAGTCACCGAACCATTCTGGCTTTACCTCCCAAGTCCAGCTAGCATACTCAAGAGCACTCTGCCACCTCCTCAGGGCAGCTCCCACAGCTCTTACCCAGATTACCCCACCCTTACCGTCTCCAAACCATGCTTTACACTGCAAACCTGCTTTTATACTCAAAATCTGCATGTTTCCTGTTTGAAGCATATTGTTATCATTTCTGATGCCCATAGACATCACACCACATGCAAAGACCTGTTTACCGCGGTCCTTGCTCCAGCTGCCATCGCTCCATCCCTGCTAGTTTCTCAGACTCTTTGTGAAAGCATTCTGTTCCTTCTCGGGGCCTTTACACACACTAACGTCTGCCTAGCCTGATGCTCTACTTCCTCCCCCTCCTTTTCTCCAAGTACTTCTCCTCTTTGGAATCTCAACAGAAGCATTTCCTTCTCAGGGAAGCTGTCTTCACTCTCCAGACCAGGTTAGGTCCCTGAATACCATTCCTTCTCACCCTGTTCCTCACGTTAGTATCGTGCAATACTGTCTTAGTCTTCTCATTGCTGAGACAAAGTACCTGACACCCAAAGTTAGAGGAGGAAATGTTTATTTGGCTTACAGTTTGCAGAGGTTTCAGTCCATAGTTGACTGGCTCCAAGGCAGGGGGGCATGACAGAGGAGAAACAGGCCATGGCCTGGAAGGCAAAAAGCAGCGAAGAAGAAGCAGAAGAAGAAGAAGCAGAAGCAGCAGTCACCACCTCCGCCTGCCTTCTTTTTGTTCCTTTATTCCACGTAGGCTACCAGCCTACTGATCTGTGCCACCCACACCCAGGGTGGGGCTTCCATTATCCACACACCCTGGAGCCAGCCAGATCTGAAAAGCCCCCTATAGGAGCGTGTGAGGCTTTGAGGGAACGTCCAGGTACAAGCACTAACATTCCACCCCTGTCCCCCAAAAGACTCATGTGCACCCCTTTATGCAAAAGGCATTTAGTCCACCTCTAAGAGTTGCTGAAGTCCTAACAGTTTCAGCACTGCTGAAAAGTCCAAGTCCAAAGTCTCCTCTGAGATTTAAGGCAAACTTAGTTGAGAGCCCCTTATAAATGAAAAGAAAGTTAAACACTTCCAACATATAATGGCACAAAATAAGCATTTCCATTCCAAATAGGGGGGTAGAAAGGAATGAGACCAAAGCAAGTCCAAAATCCAGGAGGGCAAACACTAAATCCCACAGTTCCATGTCTAGCATGGGGTAATCTGTGGCAAGGTGTGAACTCCTTAGAGGAGTTCGACCCCTACGGTCCTGCAGGTGGCTGCAGCTCACCTGGCTTCTCTCTTGGGTTAGCTTTGATCACTACATGCAGCCTTCCTCAGACGATCCATGCTCCTGGCTTCTCCAATCATTTGGGTCTCCACTGTACCTCCCACTTCACACTCACAGCTTCACACACGGCCCTCTCGGGGCCACACTACCCAGCCTCCCTTACTCTGAAATCTGGGCGGAAGCCTTCCTGACCCCACAACTCACGCACCCTGCCTGCACCTAAAACCAGCAGCACGTGGATAGCACCAAGGTCTGCCACTAGCAGGAGCAACAGGCAGGCTTCCTTCTCTCTCAGCCATAGGAGTCAAGTGCCTGGACTGCTGAGCAATGTGAACCCAATCTGGAGGAACAAATTCTCTAGGCCACCGCCACTCTGAACATGGTGCTCTCAGGCTCTCTTCTCAAAGCAGTCTTTCACCTTTGCAAGGCTGAGACTGCCAAGAGCGAAACCCTGCTGGTTCTTGTGATACCCACAGGCTATCTTTTCTAAAGTCCTCTCCTCAAATACCTGGCTTTTTATTGCTAATCTTTTTAGCAAACAAGTTCTTTGTTCTATCTTTGCAGGCCATAACTTTATTGCAGCTTTCTGGCGGGCCAAACTCAAAACTGTTTAAATCCTTCCGCTGGGTTCTTTCTCTTGATTCGCAACACAGAATCTGGCTAAAAATTCCCAATAGTAACCATGCCACTGCCTCAATGTTAAACTGCTTTGAAATTTCTTGCACAAGTTAGTTTACTGCCCTTAATCTCAGTCTCAGTCAAAGTATCTGGACACGAGCAAATTGCAGACAAATTGTTTGCCAAAGCCTAACACTCATGGTCTGGAGTCCAACAGCCATGCAGTCCTTGTTCCTAACTGAAACCTCCCGAGCCTGGTCCTTACAACACTTCTATTGGCATTGAAGCCTCCTGCGCTCTAACCAGAATCTCCCATCTAGTTCAGCTTATAGCATTCCAGGGCTGCTTCTTCAGCCAGCATCTCCAAATCTTTCCAAACTCTTCCTGCAAGCCACTTCCAAAGGCGTCTGAATCGCATGGGCAGGTAATGCCACAGCAACAATCCCACTTTTCTGCTACCAAAATTTGCCTTATTTTTCTCATTGCTGAGACAAAATATATCCAAAGTTAAAGGAGGAAATGCTCATTTCGCCTCCTATTTTGTAGAGGTTTGAGTCCATAGTCAGCTGGGGCCTGAACCCCAGGCCCTGGGAAAAAAAGAAATAAGCAGATACATCTATGTTACGGCTTCTATCTAAATGCAATAAGTGTGTCTGAAGTGAGAGGGATTATTCTGATAGCAATTAACAGTCACATGTCTCTTACTGAAATAAACTTTTCGGGATTTTTTTTTTTGATACAAGGTCTTGCAGTGTATTTCACGTTAGCCTTGAACTATGTAGCTCAGGCTGGCCTCAAACCTGCCTCCTCCTGCCTTGCCTCAGCCTCCAGGTGCTGGGATTGCAAGCACGTGACACAATACCTAGCTAACTGTGATAACATTTTATTTAAACATTTATAGTATCTTTTGATCACCCCATGTAAAATAAGAACTAAACAAAGGAAGGACAGAAGTAAAAAAAAAAAAAACCACCTTTCAAATATATCCTGATGTCTGAACTATGTAAGTATTATCAACTTTAACACTCAGAGCTTTTTCAATCGACAAAGAGAACTATACATAGCATGGCGTATAGAGTGATATTTCAGTACACGTACACAATGTGTCATGATCAGATCAGGATAAACGGCACACTCATCACCTCAACTTTGTCATTTCCTTGCATCACGAACATTCAAAATCCTCTCTACTGCCAGTAGCTCTTCTGAAATACACAATTAACTGCTGTAGAATTTCACAAGTTAGCCAGGCGTGGTGGTGCACGCCTGTGATCCCAGCACTCGGGAGGCTGAGGCGGGAGGATCGCTGTGAGTTGGAGACCAGCCTGGGCTACATAGGGAGTTCCAGGTCAGTCTCAACTACATAGTGAGACCCTGTCTCAAAAAACAAACAAACAAAAAGAATTTTACAAGTTAACCCTCCTATCCACCTACACCCTCATACCATTACCTACCTTCTCTTCACCCTTCTCCTTCCTAGTCTCTGGTAAACACTGTTCTACTCATTATACCTCTGAACTTGGAGCTTTAGAATACTGCCCACAGTTCTCTGAGGGACCAGCTGACACATTTTGTTTTCCAACTTATTATTTAAAATTTTTTCAATTTTAAATATATACTGCTTGTATGAGGGGATGTGGTTCTCAAAAGTACCATAAACTATATGCTCAGTCACATCTACAGACCATCTATTCAATCATTTATAAGTCCATCTATAATAAACATTGTACATGCCTACTAATACACTATATAGTATTCTAACCACTAAGAATACAGCAGTGATAAAAAGTCCGTATTCTCATAGCATTTACATTATAAGGAAAAGAGAGAGACAAAACCATAGTTTCTGGGAGGCTGAGGCAGGAGGAGGGTCACAAGTTCAAGCCCAGCCTGATCAATTTAGTAAGACTCTGTCTCAAAATTTTAAAAGGGCTGGGGATGGAGCACAGTGCACAGTCACAGCTTCAATCCCCAGCACCAAGAAAAAAAAGAGATGATAATGTGCACTTTGACAGTTAGGTACTGATTTTAAGAAAACTAACGCAAGGAACGGCACTAAGGACTATGATTGGGGGTGTGGCAGGACAGCGTGGCCAGGAAAGGCCCTACCGAGTAGACCTTAAAATAACCATCTGAAGGAGGCTGGAGTTGAGCCATTGACATCTCAGGCAACAGCAACACCACATCCAGTGCCCTCCTGGTGAATCAAGCTGTCACCTGACATAGCTAAGACTAGTGAGGAATAGATTTTGGGGACAAGAGGAAGGCAGGAGACGTCAAATGGGCAACTGGACATAAGCAATGCACAATAGCTCAGAGGACTCATTTGTTCACAATGTACATTTGGCAACTGTCAGGGTACTACCTGAGAAATCAAGTTCCTGTGGTTATAAAGACATAATATACTGAAGTTAAAATTTGTCTGGCCAGAAATACAGCACGCCCTTGACATTTCTTTAGAGAGCTATCACACCACCAATCTTCCCTCCCACCATAGTAGGAGAGAGAATCCTCCCTCCAAGAATAGGTACACAAAGGGATGTATTATTACTTCAGGGTCACCGAACATTCCAAGACTACTTGTAAACAAAGCCACATTGAAATGCTGGACGTCCAGCCAAGTTCTCTCCACAGCTAACTAAGTACACCATTCTCAGAAGCTACACAACTCAGAGCTGAGGCACAGCAAAATCAAAATTTACTACAACACAAGACCTGTGGGACAGAAAACAAGCCTCAAAACGACAAAGGAAAAATAAGTCTCTTGAATGCTAGCATCTATTACACACAACCAAAAACTTTAGCTGAAAAAGCTAACAGAACCACATGTAACCTTTTCCCAACACATGTATTTTTATTAGTGCAATGAGCTTTACAGAATATTGGGTTTCACTGTGGAATTTTCACATGTGCTACATCAAATAACTTTTTTTCCACAACTGGGGACTAACTCAAGGCCTTCACACTGAGGAATTTTTTTATTTTTTTTATTCTGAGGCAAGGTCTCACTGAGTCATTAAGTCATCCAAACTAGACTTGAACTTGTGATCCTCCTTCCTAAGCCTCCCAGAATGCTAGGATCATGGGTATGTGCCACCATGCCCAGGGAGATCAATAACTTTTAAGTACATTTCATCCTTCTTAGCCAGGAATGTGATCAGGTCAGAACTGCAAATGTCACTGAAACACTGATTTTCATTTCATGTTACAAAATTCTCCTTCACAAATAAGTTGCAACTATCAAGCATACCATGGTCAAGATAAACAAGGTAAATAGTCTAATAAGGTTAATTTTTTTAAGGCTAGGGCATGACAACTAGGACAGAAAAGTAGAGAAAAACCATGGAAGAAATTAAGAGCCAGGGCAGGGCGTGGTGGTACACGCCTGTAATCCCAGCACTAGGGAGGCTGAGGCTGGAGGATCGCTGTGAGTTCAAAACCAGCCTGGGCTACATAGTGAGTTCCAGGTCAGTCTCAACTACACTACATAGTGAGACCCTGTCTCAAAAACATCAAAACCAAAAAAAAAAAAAAAGAAAGAAATTAAAAGGAAGCATCTGAAGAAACTGAGAATGCTACAGTAAACACTGTTAAATGCTAGAGCCCATTCCCTCAAATCTCTAGCCCTTTCATCCATCCCAGCATAAATATAACAATCTCCATGTTAACTCAGTCTGGACTGCACTCCCACTTAATCTATACTCCCATCAAGACCATCTGCCAGTGCACCAGAAATAAATCCAAACCTACGAGAGCTGAGACACAAATGCATTATAACTACTTTTGGGATAACCAAGTTTCTGATTTCACTATATCCCACCTACAATTTTATTAAGGAGAAGAGTTAAGTCTGACAAAAGGCTGTACGTCACTTACCAGCTGATCTGAATTAAGTTGCTCTCCATTTTTCAGGCGATCCTTGTAATCTTCCAGTTTGAGCTACAAAACAGAAACTTGTATCTACTATAGTCTGATATAAAATTCTGAAGCAAATAAACTAAATACCAAACACTGTTCCCTCTAAAAACAGTTCTGAAAGCAATCAACGTGCAAAGGCACCACTTTATTACAGGCAGGCAGCAACTGTAACTTGGCCTGCCCTGTGACTGGTGTGGTTTCCCACCTTTCTGCAAGCACACCTGGGTGGTGAACTCAACAGTACTTTGTTCCTGGGGCACAGAGACAGAATAGGAAAACAGAATCATCCAAGAGTTTGTTGCCACCATCTCAAAGGGACACAGCAGTCTCAGGCTCCAAAGGCAGACTGCAATCTCCAAGTGCAAGGCAACAAGGCTGGGCTGCTCTGACACTGGTCTTTCAACTATCTCCACCGCTCACAACAGTTCCCAAGCAACAGTTACAACAGGAACATAACTCATAGGGTGAAGCCTTACACACAGCAACCCTGTGTCCATCCATACACACCTCAGAGCCAGAGCAGCAGTCAGTGTAGGTGGTGACAGAGCAGTGTAGCAGAGGCTGCAAAATTCCGTTTCATATATTCTTACAACTCTGAAGTACCTGGATTGTTCTGTTTCACAGTATACAGTCTCTCAGTTTTACAGATGGAGAAATGGGTTTGGTGGCTGTTTCATCACTTGGGAACAGCTCTGAACAGAGTCTCACATGAGTAAGTTTTTGGCTATGTAACTAAAAGAATCCTTGGAGATCTGATGTCCCGGTGTAACAGTATAAAATATTCAAACAACACCTAGGTGGTACACTCCTATAATCCCACACTTGGGAGGCTGAGGCAGGAAATCTCTATGTTTGAGGCCGCCTGGCCTACATAGTGAGTTCAAGGCCAGCCTGAACTACATAGTGAAACCCTGTCTTCCCCCAAAAAATATTCAAACAGCTGCCAGGCATAGTGGTGCACACCTGTAATCCTAGGGAGGCTGAAGCGAGAAGATCACATATTTGAGGCCAGCCTGGACTACATTGCAAGACTATCTCAAAACAAACAACAACAACAAACAGTTAAGTCCAGTCGATGGCAGTGGGGGACAACACAGCAATTGTTAAGAACATAGGCTCTTCATAGTTCTTAACAAGAGTGAACCTAGGCAAGTTTTCCAAACCTGGGCACCAAGGGAGTGTCTCAGCATGTTTAGATGGTTCTGATGTAGGAGTAAGGATGTATAAAAAGGGAAATTTTAAAGGACACGCCCTAATGCACCATTGTTCAAATACAAAAATATTGGAGGTGAGGGGGATACTTCATATAGGACAAAGGTGAGAGTTGAACAAGATAAAGGCCACATGCCAGGACAAGTTCATTCCTATCAACCAGTCTGCTGTCTAGCAATTATTTTCATATTGCCCAGGGCAGTTACTAATAACTCATTTTTAAAAAGATATTTAGTATTTTAAAGACAAAAATAACATTAGCCTGAAATTTCAAGGCTTAAGCAGTAAAGCTCCTTTTCTCTTACTGGCTTCTATTTGTAATTAGACTCCTTAACACACAAGGACTTACCTAGTCAACCAATGCCCCACCCACGGGTGCTGTCTGAGGCAATTTTGCCCTCCAGAGACATCTGGCTCTGTCTGGAGGGACTCCAGTTAGAATTTGGAGAGTCCAAGATGGACAGTGCTACTGGCATCTTGTGAGATGTTTAACAACCCACGATGCCCAGGACAGCCCCATGACAATGAACTGCCATAAAATGTCGATGGTCTCCAAAAGTGAGAGAAGTTCTGCTCCAACTTCATGGTTAAACTATTAGGTCAGCAACTAGCTTAATCTGTGGCATTTTCCTAATACATAACTTCCTAATAGTAGTACAAAAAATGTAAGATTTCTTTTCTAGCATTATAGTAGCCACAACCTGAAGCTATTTTTCATATTCAGTTTGATATTTAAGGAAATATATGAAAAATAAACAGCACTCAAGAGCTCCATAAAAATGACAAACCCACTACACAATTCTACAAACTTTTTCAGGCTACTCCCATATTGGCTTTAGAGTCTTAAAAGGCTTTCCCAGAAGATAAAACAAAACCACTCACTGGTACTATTATACAGGTATTTAAAATTAAAGAGCTATTACAGCTAAGCTGAACTGCATACATGCAACACATACATGTAGTTCTTCCACCTGAGCGAAGCCATCAACGAAGCTCTGTTAATTGACCCTGCTCTGACGGGCCTGATAGCGGCAAGGCATTTGTGCTGACCCAGGCACTTACCTTATCACACCTGTGATCAACAGCATGGCACCATTCAAAGACAAGTGGTGAGGGCTAGAGAAGCTACTAGCAAGTGGCCCTTCATTACCTTCCTGACTTAGAAGTGGGGAGAGGAGTCAATAAGACTCTGAATAATACCTTTACACCTCTCCGTTAAAAGCAACTTTCCGGTGGTACAGCACCAGCCTGGCAAGTGTAAGGCCCAGAGTTTGATTTCCAGTACAAAGCCTAAGTAAATAAAAAAGCAACTTTTCTTTGCTATGATGAAGTTATCATTCTGTATGTCTAAAATGTACCAATTATTTTTAAAGGACCAGGGAAGATTGGCAAAAATAAATAAAAGCAACTGTCCTAAGACTTCACTAAGTCTTGGTCTACACAGGTAACTGCTCAGACCTACCAGCCCAAAGGAGAAGAGAATCGTGACACAACAAAGCAGTGTGCAGGTAAATATATTTCACAGGCTACATGACTCAGGAAATGAGAATTGATCTGGGTCTTTACATCAGCATTTACTGCACATCAGGTTGACAATAAGACCTGACTACTCATAAGGTTGTCTACAATACTTTCACCTACCAATCTCAGGTCAAGACCTCAAAAGGTCAAAATTACTGCTGAAACATCTACTGGCCTACCAGGTGAAAGCGTCCAAGGACTGCAGCAGCTCTACTGCAATATCAGCTGCTGCAGAAAGTCATAAGGAAAACAAGCATAAATCAGGCACAAAACTCATCTATGAAAAGAAACAATGTAACACTCAAGGAATTCATCTATTCTTAAATATCTACCTCTTCAAGCGCGTCAACAGCAGCATGAATAATTTTACTACGAAGAATACTATTACCCAGCTGTGTTGACAAATGAAAACAAAAAGTTAATACTACAAGGATAGCCTGCTTTAATCGTTCTCGGGCATCTACAGCCTAGGTTTAGTTAAGGCTTTAGGAATGAAGACCTGTGACTCTTGACAAAGAAATCAGCTCCTTAAGACCATGCAGGTATGGGGCAGGGAGGAAAAGTTACCTTCTTTTTCTCGATGTTTCTAATTTTGTGTTTAAGGCATATGAGTCCGTTGTCGATGTAGGTCTCATAAGCCTGGGATGGAGATGCAGCATAACCGAGCGCAGACTGCAGGGGGCTCAGGGCCCGCTGGCTTTCCCCATGCTGACTGTGGTTCACCTGGGGCTTGGCTGACTTCATATTCCCTACTCTTTCCTCCTCCAAACGGCCTGCAGGTGACTGGTAATCAAAAGGGAACGAAGAGAGTTGCACCACTGAAACAGATGAGGCAGAAGCGGAGGAGGGAAATAGTATAAAAGTAAATGGGGGAGGGGGCGCACAGCCAGGATTTAACTTGCCTATAAAGTCCAGACCCACTTTCCTAAAATCACTTTTCTTCCACAGAAGTGAGCTCAAATCCTAACGGTGCTTCGGACAGTACACTTCCATCCCACTACTTTCAAGGTAACTAGTGGTCAGCACCGACCGATACGCATAGCCTTTACGTCGGCAAAAATCTACAAAACGGGACGACGTTTCCAGAAATTCTATTTTCCACACAGGAAGGACTGCTAACCAAGCAATGGCTCCCGAGCTCCTCTCTTACGGGCGCAAATCCCATTCTGAATAATATCTATGGTCAAATGAACACGCTCGCACGCACGCAGGCAGGCAGGCAGGCAGGCAAAGGGGCCTTCACGGAACCTCCTGACCTGGCCCCTCAATTCCAAACTCGATGATCAGGAACACTTCACAGAAAACTTCAAACTCCCACTGAGTGAAACAGCAGTTTCTGGAACGAGACTGTTAACTTCCCTTGGCTTGCTCTAGGGCCCGGCGGCAAATCCACGCCCAGGGGCACTGGGCACGCTCGCAAGCCGCAAGCACCGCGCAGGGGGGACGCGAGGCTGCAGGGCTGCTAGTCCCT